ACACTATAAGCAGTATAAATCAATTAAATAAGAAAGTAGTATTACTTATCTTACAAGAAACAATTGACTGAAAACTATGTGCAAATAATATACAATAAAACCATACAGATGAGAAGGACAAAAATAGAGATAAAGGATTTTAAATCAAAGGGTTTTTTCAGAAATAAAAAATTGTTTTACCAGTTCCTTTTGAAATTAAAGAAATTTTCAAACACAATAAAAAAAAAAAAATATGCGAAAAATACTTGCACTTACGCTCAATAACTGACACTAACACGGGTTCGCCTCATCAATACACCGATTGTTATAGTGTCAGGCTAATGGTTCTTGAACATTGTATACGGATGATTTTTATTTGTATATTTATATTTTTAATTTATTTTAAACTTTTATTTTCTTTTTATATATTAGCTAGTCTCATTTCTAACTATATTTATTTCTTATATATATTTATGAATATATTTCTTTAATTTATGTATTTCAAATTATTATGTTAAGTTTATTTTATATATGTTTATTTTTATAAATATTTTTTCTTTTCATTTTATATAGATTGCATTTATTTTTTATAATTTTTTTATTTTATCTACTATCAATATTTATATACATAAAAAAATATTTAAACGGTTATTTATACTAACATTAAAAAAATTATGTATGTATATTACATTCATACACATCATGTTATATATATATATATATTATTTATGAGATTTTAAAATTATATACATAATTTGAATAATAAAAAGAGTGAAGAACTTATTTAATATGATTTGTGGTTTTTCAAAATGAAAAAACTACATTATAAAATAATGTCACAATAATAAGAATCAAAGCGCAAATAAACCTTAGTTTTTAAACATTTTTCATGCCACCTACATGAAAATGATGTTGGCAACAAAGTAGAAATAATTGTAATAAACTAAATGAGCAACAAAAAAATGCGAGAAATACTAACACACTATTATATGTAATAATTATGTAACTGAAATGTTCAAGAAATTTCCCGCCAATAATCAGAACCAAGTTTTTAAAATAAAAAATTGATCCTTATTTATGGTCGGTTTGGATTAGTTTGTAAAACTCAAAGCAGAAGTACTTTTAAAAAAAATATTTGGAGGTAATAAAGTTAAAAGTATTTTTAATATAATTGTATTTTTTTTATATAACCTTTATAATTTATTTTAAAATTTATTAGCTATATACATTTTTTTAATTTGGTAACTTATATTTTCAAATTTTAATTTAATGATAATATATAAACTAAAAAATAAAATTACGATTCAATGTTAGTTTATTCGTATTTTTATAATTTATTACAAAATTTTACCAATTATATTTATTAATTTTAAGTTTTTACTATAATTAAAAGTTTATATTTTAAATTTTGGTATTTAAATAATAATATATAAAATAAAAATACAATTATATTTTTAAATTTGAATTAAAATATAAAATATTTATTTTTATATTATTATTATTAGAGATAAACGATTACCTTTAACTAAAAAAGACTTATTTATTTCAAAAAAAAATTTATTTAAGGTGGTCCTAAAAAAAATAGTTAAATATTACTTTTATTTTTAAACAGAAGTCAATAAAAGTACAACCAGTTTTCTTTTTCTAGAAGTAGAAATCAAAAGCTCTGACAAAAATCTATCCAAATAGAACCTTAATCTTTTTTATATAATTAATATAAAATTATTATTGTTTAATTATTTAATTAAATTATTTAATTTTTTTTTTTGTGTTTCTTTGCTATTATTATCAATAAAAATATATCGTTTTGTTTTATAAAAATATCATATTAAAATAGAAAAACTCAAATTTAAATGCAACCAAATAAATTTCAAAATATAAATATATATAAAGATTATACATATATTTATAAATTTAATTTTTATATAAATATGGTTTTTTTTTATGAAAAAAAAAAAATGAGCCCCAAGGGGGTCTAAAATTTTGAGGCCTTGGTGTGGGCGCAGGTAGCCCATGCCCACCGGTACGGATGACAAGGCATTTGATATGGGTTCTCGATTATATATCTAATTTTCTAAGCTCAACTTCCTCCGAACAAACCTCACATCAACGGTTTTGAACTATTAGAAACCTAACTCACTAATCAACAACTAATCTCCCAAACCTTTACAATTCACAAGGATTAAGAGCCATTGGAAATATTGACATAGTGAGCTGTTGTAACTGACAACAAAACAGAAAACCCCCTGAATACCAATGAAAGAAGAATGCATGAAGAATATGAACACTCATGATAGAATCGAATTGTACTTGCACAAAGAATGGAAGAGAGATGAATTATATACCGATGCGGTCACAGTTAATACAATACCATCCAAGTTACAACAGGGGTTTGGGTTGCAAGTGGGGCAATGGGTCACGAATTAGGTTGGGCCAAAAACATCAACAATTTTCACACAAAGATCACACCAAACAATTTTAATCGCAGAACAAGGCATTTGTGTAGCGGTACATAACTGGACAAAGTATGTGCTCGAGATTCTCAATCTCTCTTTTAAGTGTGGAGGAAAATGCGGGAAGGGAGCGAGACCAAGTCAAGCGAAGAAGAAAGAAGGGGATTTAATCAATGGCTCTATCCTCTTTGCGTGCTCTGCTCTGAAAGGAGGACCTGGAAATGACCCACCACTTGTTCATCCATTCCTCCTTCTCGACAAAACTTTGGACAGAAATATGCAAATAGCTTTAGTCACCAAGGGAGCTGGACTCGATTGAGGAAACAGAAGATTGGATAAAAACAACCGGCCGGTTCGCAAACCATGCGACAAATCAGCTTTGCCGCGACACTTTATTATATTTGGACAGCTCGGAACAAGGCAGTTTTGGAAAATTTCGCTTTGGATCGAACTATTTCTGTGACTAAAACTAAAATATGCTATTATGGAATTTTGTACTCCTTAAGGTTTGGACACAACACTAGCATATCCCTGTGCATGATGGGAGTGGGACATCTACCTGAAGAATTTGAGGAACGAAACAGGAAACTTTGAAATTCATGATGCTGCTCATAGCCACCCATTTGACAGCCACATATTTTGGCATTATTTGTATATATAAATATATATATAGATATTTAATTTCTTTACCGCTTTGATTAGACAAAATAAATTTAAACAAATATTCAATGTTGATGTCACCTAGAGCATTGTATTGAATGCTGACAGCATGCGCCATTCACAACAAGCCATTGAAGGAAACAATAAACATTAATCCGCATGAAGGGAAAAACATTAAATTAAGAGCAGGAGACGACAAAGGGGGAAATGATCTAATCTATGTAATGTAGTCAATCATTTATAATGGAATTGCATGCATCATGAGGTTCTGGAAAAACAATTCATTATGCGAATTCAAACAACCAATTATAATTGTACACACAGACAACCACTCAACATATTAGGATTTATAAAATCTAACGCATTCATTAAAAAGACAAGAACATTCTATCACTGCATTAAAGAGATTCAATAATTCATAAGAATTATAGGATTGAGTACAATTGGCAGATCAAACCACACACCCAAACATCCGTAACACATTTAACCAAAGCCTTTCTTCATATATCCAAACAAAAACACTTGCAAAAGTCCACCCGTAACTACATAAAATCTAAGTAGACACTATAATTTGCTCGCCACCACCAGTAATTTATTTCCAATTCCCAACCAAATCCTCTCACTCTCGGCATGAGTGTCATAGTACTCATGAGGCAACAACTCTAATCGTGTAACAAGTGCAATTGGGCAACAAGAGAATGGAAAGAGTATGTGTAAGAAAGAGGATAGGAGGATTTAAGCTCAATCCTATAATTATATTAGCCAAGAAAACTGCAGTTTGTCAATCACTAACACTCACTTTGCTTATTAGTTCATCTATTTTCATACCATTCGACCTATTTTTTATATCACTGAATATTTTTTTAAAATTTTATAATTCTAATTTTCATCTTTATTTATTTATTTCTTCCAGTTTATTATAAACTCTTTCACTTTTTATATCAACTAATGTCTTCTAATATCTTAGTTAATTTCTTACAAATTACTCTTTTTTTTCTTTTTTTTTTTTTTTGGATATTTGCCCCTGAAAAAACATGTTAAAACTCAAAAGAGTGACATCTATCTGTCTACAAGAAACATATATGCTTGCCACAATTACATATGTCCATCTTGCAGCAAATGATTCTCAATCCTCTACGGGATCTACCAAGATCTCATATTGTCTTTCTCATCTCATCTCTCCAACTGAAACAACCAAAACAAACAAACTAACTAACTAAAATTAGACAAGAAAATCAACTGGATATCACAACACTCAAAATCAACAAAGAAATTAACTGCACCAGAATCCGAACTTCAGAAAAGCCCCGATCACTGAATAATCCCAAATAACTTAAAATAGAATTTTTTGGTGTCTCTTCAAAATAAAACAAATTTGAAAAACAAAATAATAATAAAAAATGTGAAATACTTACACCTACTCTATTAGATTTTTAGCCCTTTCCGTTCACAGATTTTTATAGTATTAGATGGATGGTTTTAAAATGTTGGATATATAAATACTTTTTAATTTTTAATATTTTAAATTTATTCAAAAATCTTCTTCATTTTTAATCTCTTACAATTTAATATATTTATTTCCTATATATTTATAAATACATGTTTTTATATATTTTTTAATTACTATTTTGTGTATTTTTAAATTTATAAATTTTTTAAGATTCATTATTATATTACTCTAAGTTTTTATTATTAATATATTTTATTTGTGTTTATTTTTTATTTCAAATAAAAAAAATATTACGATTCACTCTGCACTTTGCAATAATGATATATATTATATTTCTCCCATAAAGAGATTATCACTTACTCTCACAAAATATCATACCAAATATTATTTATTAAAAAATTAAATAAAAAAGGCTATTTTTTAAATATTTTATCAGAATCATAACAACACATTTTGCTACATCGATCTCATAACTACATAAAATCTAATACACACTATAAGAATAATAGACCAACTAAATAATAAAGTTGTACAAGATATGATCCATATAAAGAAAACAGCTTAATGTACAGCTATTGCTGATTCATCCCCAAAGCCATCAAATGTTCACTAAGATGAATGAAGAATATGCTGATTTTATGATTTTATTAGCTAGGAAAACTGCACTCTCAATCTCAATCTTTGGGGTAGGTACTCTTGCCATGCCGGTAGGAACATACATTGGTGCGTCCTTTCTCCGTTGGTGAAATAAGAATTGCTGCACCATGGTTTTCACTTAAATGACGTTCTGCATTCACCATGGTATCCCTATCGTGACTTTCTGGCCTATCATTTGTCACTTGGTTATTTTCTTTCTTCTCGGTATTCTCCTCTTGAGGAGTTGCAGATTAAAGTCGAGTTGGGGAGGATCGACCACCTCAGCATGCTATGGATGCAAAATGAAGATTATGAATAAGTCTTATCAACCACTTAAGAAGTTAAGAGGATAAACAAATCCAACCTTCATCGCCACTGTGCTTGATTAACACACACGAAAGTAAATAAAATATTTAGGATGTCTAATTTGCAAGGAGAGCACATGAATCATTTTTCTCATGGGAATATATTTGAATTTAGAAACAATTCAAATATGTCATTAATAGAAAATTACCTTTAACTTGCATGTGTCGATCAATCCGAAGATCAATATATATGCCCTCTTGCGTAATTGATGTGCTCTGCATTGGAAAACCCCATTACCATCTGGTACATACACATAAAATAAATTAGTAACAATATCCAAGAACAACACATATGCAAAAGCACAATTTACGGCAATAAATAAATCACAGGCCCTACATTGCCCGATTGTGTTTGCCATCTTGCTCTTTGCCGAATAGCCAAGAGAAATGCATTGGCGCATCTTATCGGGAGTCATTCCGCAACCGTTATCTACGTATATATACAAAATAAGATTGAATTAGAGTCACAAGTGATACGAAGAAACTTAAACTGTGTATTGTTCCACAACTAGATCAAACATAATAAGGAACAACATCATTAAGACTACTCTAAGGTTCTACTCAAGACATACAAATTTTTTAACCAAGAAATATTCTCTGTTCATCAAGCAAATTTTTTTTCGAACTCTTTAGTATGCAATCCCAAAACTCCCCAAGAAAAAATACACTATCCCCCCTAACAATCATCACATCAAGCTACTATGCAAACACAAAATTTAAACACATATACATATATACACATACCTTGAACTGCCGCTATTTTGCTATTAGTACTGTTCTCAAGCACATCTATGCTCACATATGTCGCCCCATTGCAAACCTGATTACAAAATACATATATTCATGATCGAGTAATAGATGAAAGACGGGGCTTTTTGAGAGTTATAAGGGCATAAAGGTACCTCATCTAAAGCATTATCAAGAAGCTGTGACTGAGATTGGGGTGCGGTGGGGATCTCCAGCAGCTGCGCAGGGTTCATCGTTGACGGCAGGAAGGCTAGAATGTCAGGCACTGGTTCAATGTTCACCCAGCTGTTGTCTATCAAATCTTTGGAAATCTTGACGTCTTTCCTTTCTGCCGACAGAAACTTTTTCTCACCTGTGGAGAAGTTAGATACATGAATTCAGTTGATAAGAATTAGCTGATCGAAAAGGCCAACTTATTGTATGTGTTCGATTAATGTACCGGGGGAGTAGAGCTGAAGTTTATCGCATCCAATTAGGAAGCCTTCCCAGCGCAGCGCATCCACACTTGCTTCCGCAGAGTCCCTATAGTCGGCATAGGTTTCCTTGTTGATGGTGGAGTTTGATAAGCACGGTATCCATTGAGTACTGCACAATTGATAGATGCATCATAGTTTTTCGTGACAGTAAAGATACAGGCTTAAATCCTTAATCACTTTTACAAAACCTACCTCAGAATAGTACTTGATTCATCATCAGCAAAACCAACACCTATCTTACCAGTATTGCATACATGGTCCAACAATCTATTCCCAATCCTCAGCCAGATGGTATTCTTCTGTTCCCGATTGTGGTGCAAAGATCTCATTTTGCCTTTCTCATATCATCTACTGAAGCAACCAAAACAAGTAAACAAAAATCAAACAAGCAAATCAACTGGAAATAAAAAAATAAAAAAAAAACTCAAAATAAAACACAGTAATTAACTGCACACAAATCAGAACAACCCTTTTATCACATTTGTATACCCTAATTTCAACAAGAACAATAGCGCCGCAGGTGAAAGTTTACAATAACCCTAATTTCACAATAAAAGATTTATATAATATTCAGTGGATCCTTCTAGAGGGTTCAATATATTTTTATTTATTTAATTATATTTTTATTTTATTCTTAGAGTTTTTACAATTTTTTAAATAGAGTTTTTTAGTGCGCTGCTTCCACACTCTTTTTTTTCTCCTTGTGCTCATTTATTTTTCTAATAGGGGATGGTTCTAAAAGGGTTATATATATATATATATTATTTATTTATATTTTAAATTTATTTTAGACTTTTCTACAAATAGTTTATATTTTATAATTGAATATATATACTATATATTTATAAATACATCTCTTTGTGTATTTTATTAATTAATTTATGAAGTTTATTTTGCATATTTTTATTTTTATAAAAAAAAATTATATTCATTTTATATATATTACTTTATTTTTTATAATTAATATATTTTTGTGTCTTGTTTTTTATATTAAATAAAAAATTTGCGATTCAATCAGCATGTTCACGATAATTAAAAATAAATAAATTATTTACACTTATAAAATATCACACCAAATATTATTTAAATCAAAATTCAAATAAAAAAACTTAATTTTGATAATTCTATCATAATCATGTGAATAGTACTATATGGATCAAATCACATATACAAACATAACTAACATGTGAGAGCCTTCCTTCCTATATCCACATAAAATTAGCACTTGCAAAATTGAGCCATAACTATATAAAATATAAGGATTTGTTCTTCCAACAATTTTTTTTTTCAAACATGATTCTCAATATATAAAATATTTATATTTTATCATTTCATAAAACATCACCATTCAACACAAAATATTATTTTTATATTACTTATATAATTCTTTATACCTCACATAAAACATATAAAGGGGGATTTAATAAATAGCTCTATACTCATTAGGACCTGGAAACGGCCCACCACCTGTTAATCCATTTCATGCGACCACTCAGCATTTCAGCAACTCTTTATTATATTTGGACTACTCCGAACAAGGCAGCATTGAAAAATATCTATTTGGATCGGACTAGTTTTGTGACTAAAATTAATATATGTTGTTATTGATTTTTCTACTCCTTAACTCGTACAATCAAATTAAGAACATCGAGGCAACACTAGCATATCCCTTTGCGGCTCTCGGGACATCTACCTGAACAATTGGATGAACGTAGCTGTAAACTTTGAAATTCATGCTGCTGCTCATAGCTACCCATTTGACAGCCTCATTTTTTGGCATGTTTGTATATATATATATATATATATTTAATTTGTTTACCTTTTTTTATCAGACAAAACAAATAGTCTTTTCCACTAGTTGAGGCTGTGGTAGCCTCGGTCTCTTAACACCACAATTGCAATAACCTTGTTACTTCTACGATAAATTAGTTATAAGCATTTAAATACGATCATAATACCCAATTTTTCCTTATTTTATTGGCGGCAATGGTAGACCGATTGATTACATCCCTAATCAAAGAAATAATAGTACGACCATAAATTAATTTCTCCAATTAAAAATAGCACAACCCCAATTCAAATATTCAATCCATTACGAAAAAAATTAAATTATTTGATCATGCGATTCTTAGACTAAACTTGTCAACCTATTTACCATTTTATCAAACAAGTGCACAATCACGGATGCAAAAGTTCGATTGGCACACAATTGTTAAATCGATCTAAAATCCGACCGCAAGATTAAATAAAACAATTGTAGGCATCTCACAGAAATTACATAATATCAATTAAACAAGATTCAAATTAAATCAAAATATAATCTCACACATCCCAATCCGGAATCTACATTCAACCCTGGAATAGATTAGAAAATTAGCTACTCATGCTTAGAAATAAATAAAAAGCAATAAAAGTGATGATCATCCGGTGGCACTTCCTCTCAAACCGTCATTTCCAATCCTCCAAGTTTGGCTATGAAATATGAGTATAAGTTGTGATGCTTAACTCCAATTTCTTGCTCCCTTATTATAGATGATTACGTCTCAATCCCGTAATCCATCACTTTCTTTGATATGCAAGCTTAAATCAAACATTTTCATAATTTTTGACATAAAATTTAGCATGAATCCGTTCATTTGCACCAATCAATAATATGCCAAAATTAGTAGAAATCTGTCCAAAATATTAATTATATTTTATTATTTATCTATACAAGTATAGGATAATATATGCTTTATTAGGCTGTCAGTTATTGGTTCAAGGAAACGTTGTGATCATCTTGGGTATGTCCGGTGTATTTGCTCTTTATTCTTTCGGTATTAGTATACCATTTGATTTTTTCTATTAAAAAATATATATATTACATCCAAAAATTATGTTAAATTATCATCTCCCCCACCCATCAACACAGAACCAATAAAATCATAACTATAAACCGAAAAAATCACACATTCAAACATAACTACCACATTTTGCTACAGCCATTTCATAACTACACTACATAAAATCTAAATACACACTATAAGCATAATAATAATAATAAAGTAGTACAAAATATGATCCATATCAAGAAACAGATGACTGAACTATGTACAGATGTTGATTCATCCCCAAAGCCAACAAATGTTCACTAAGATGAATGAAGAATATGCTGATCTTATGATTTTATTATTTAGGAAAATTGCACTCTCAATCTCAGTCTTTGTCGCAAGTACTCTTGACATGCCAGTAGGAATATACATTTGGGTGCGGTGCGTCCTTTCTCCTTCTGTTGCTGTGCCAGGGTTTTCACTTAAAGAGGTTCTGCATTCACCACTACATCCTTACTGTGATTTTCTGACCTAGCATTTGTCACTTGGTTATTTTCTTTCTTCTCAGTATTCACAATTTGCTTTACTTGAGGAGTTGCAAATTAAAGTCGGGTTGGGGAGGATCAACCACCTCAACAGGCTCTGGAAGCAAAATGAAGATTATGAATAAGTCTTATCATCCACATAAGAGGTTAAAAAGATAAACAAATCCAACCTTAATCTTGTACCATTGTGCTTGATCACATGAAAGTAAATACAAAACTTAGGATGTCCCATTTGCACGGAGAGCGCAGGAATCATTTTTCACATGGGAATATATTTGAAGTTCCCATTTGCACGGAGAGCGCAGGAATCATTTTTCATATGGGAATATATTTGAAGTTAGAAACAATTCAAATATGTCATTAATAGCAAATTACTTTTAACTTGCAAGTGTCAATCAATCGGGATCAATATATATATATATGCTGTCTTGCATAATTGGTGCATCGGAAAACCCCATTACCATCCGGTGCAAACACATAAAGATAAATTTAGTAACAATATCCAAGAATAACACATACACAAAAGCACGATACACGGCAATAAATAAATCACAGGCCTACAGGCTACAATGCCCCATTGTGTTTGTCATCTTGCTCTTTGCTGAATAGCCGAGAGACATGAATTGGTGCATCTTATCGGGAGTCATTCCGCAACCATTATCTTCGAATGCTACGTTCCTCGGGAGACCTTAGATTTGAGTCTTAACCAGCGAAGCATCGGTTTGTTAATGCGAGCCTTGTGTAGCACAGCATCCAGCATTGGGCTGCCAACAATGTTCAGGGAGCTCTTGAATGACCATATCTGGTCCTCCGGCCAAGGCATTTGGGGTTTTTTCTTCTGGCAAAGAAAATACATGGGAGATTATCAGTCAGACTCAATTCATAAAAATGAAAACAAATATTAAATTTAATTACTAAATCTGTACATGGTGATCAAGGCATCATCAGGCTTACCATCATAGAAAGCATAAACTTCACTGTCCGTCAGCAGTAAACAAGTTGTTGTGATGGCTTCTGGGATTTGGGTAAGGACAGGCATCCCCTACTTGATTCAGCCAGCAAAATATTTGGGTCGGGATATTGGAATACCAAAACATTAGCTGTCCTATACAATATGAATCTCTATATGTTTTGTGGTATTTGTGTACACCTGAACCCAATTTCTCAGCATACTTTGGGCTGAGGTCTTGTGGAGTAATGTGAATGGGGGGAGATACTACTTTCTTGTATTTCTGAAAAAGGATGCATGTTGAAGAATTAATTACTCATGCATAATTCAAGTTCAACAGGTCGGCATTTTGGTGTTGCGTGTTTGGAAGAACTAGAACTCACCCTTAGTCGGAGAAAACACTTTGTTTGCGCATATATGTGTATCACGTCACCAGCAGCATCATGCCGTCTTTTATATGTCGAATGTAACTTCCGCACCACATCCCTTAACCTGAAGCATATTGAAGAGAGTTAGATTATAAGGATTTATAGTATGATAGCATACTGAAGTGCAGCTAATGATAATTACCATTTTAAAGAGTTCTGGAACTTCGTCTGTTGGAAATCAGGACCAAATGACCCACGGGCATGAATCTTGGTCTTCAGATTCATCAATACTACTTTAAGATTCTACTCAAGACATACAAAATGTTCAACCAAAAAATGTTGTTATTTCTAAGATATACTATGTTCATCAAGAAAATTTATTTTTTCAAATTCTTTAGTATGCAATCCCGAAACCTCCCAAGAAAAATACACTATCCCCTCTTACAATCATCACATCAAACTACTATGCAAGCACAAAATTTAAACACATACATATATACATACACACCTTGAACTGCCACCTAGTAGTATTGTTCTCAAGCACATCGATGCTCACATATGTAGCCCCAAAAACCTAATTACAAAAAACCTATATTCATAATCGAGTAATAGATGGAAAAAAAGGGACTTTTTGAGAGTTATAAGGGCATGAAAGGTACCTCATCTAAAGCATTATCAAGAAGCAGTGGCTGAGTTTGGGGTGTGGTCAGGAGCTCCAGCAGCTGCTCTGCCGACAAAAACTTTTTCTCACCTGTCAATAGGTTAGATATACGATTCAGTTTATAACAATTAGGGGGTCTGAAAGGCCAAATTATTGTATGTGTTCGACTAGTGTACCCGGGAAGTAGAGCGGAAGTTTATCGCATCCAATTACGATGCCTTCCTGCCACCACGCATCCACAATTCCTCCTACTTCAGGCCTTGCGTCCACAAAATCCCTATAGTCGGCATAGGTTTCCTTATTGATGGTGGAGTTTGATAAGCACAGCATCCAATGAGTACTGCATCGATTGATAGATACATGGTAGATTCTTGTCACAGTAAAAAAAAAAAAAAAAAAGTACTTGCTTTAAATCCTAAATCAATTTTAAAAAACTTACCTCAGAGTAGTCTTTGATTCATATTCGGCAAAACCAACACCTCTCTTGCCACCATGATATCTATAGTCCAACAATCGATTCTCAATCTTCAACCAGATCTTCTCTTTTTGTTCCAAATTGTGGTGCCAAGATCTCATTTTGCCTTTCTCATATCTCCAACAAAGCAACTAAAACAAATAAACAAAAGTAGACAAGCAATCAAATCAAATGAAAATGAAAAGACTCAAAATCACCAAATCTCCAGATCTGAATCTCAGAGGCCTTGTTCCGCCGCCAAGAAAGTATACAATAACCCTAATCCTAAAATTGGCTATTTTTATAGTAGTAAGGGATGATTCTAGAAGGATTCTATATATTTTATTTATTTAATTATATTTTTAATTTATTCTTTTCTACAATTTTTTAAATGTAGCCTTTTGGTGCAGCCTTTTGTTATTTTTTCCTTGTGCTCACCAATTTTTATAGTAGCGGATGATTCTAGAACACTTTTATATATATATATATATATATACATTGATTCTAGTTTTTTTGTACAAATTTTTTATATTAGCCGAAGTAGTGAATCTTTTACAATTTAATATATTTACAATATTTTTATAAATAAAATTCTTTATGTATTTTATTATTTAATTTATTAAGTTTTTTTTGGATATAATTATTTTTATAAATATTTTTATATTTATTTTATATATATTAATTTTTTATAATTAATATATTTTTTTTGTGTTTGTTTTTATTTTAAATAAAAAAAATTACGATTCAACCCGTATGTTCACAATAAAAAAATAAATATTATTTACTCTTACAAAATATCACACAAAATATTATTTAAATCAAAAATCAAATTAAAAAAAAAAATAAGAAAAGACTCAATTTCGATAATTCTATGATAATCACATGAATAGTACTTGATCAAATCACACACAAACATAACTAACATATTTTGTTAAGTCTTTGTTTCAATATCTACACAAATTTAGCACTTGTAAAATTAACCCATAACTACATAAACATACACTGTAAGCTAAATCAAATGAATAAAAAAGTAGTACCACGTACCTTACAAGAAAAAATTAATTTTTATTCGATCAAAAAACAAAAGTTGATTTTTATTTTTAGATTTATCTACTTCCAATATCCAGAGCCGGCCCTGGCCCCGGGCGACAGGGGCGCTCGCCCATGGCTCAATCTAAATAAGGGTCCATAATATATTTATGTTATGTATAAAATATTTATATATACATATTATTTTATTTTAATATATTAATAGAGAAATATGGCTTGATGATTACATGTTCCATGTACTACTTACGAGGTTTTGGGTTCATACCCATGTACCCTAAAAATTTAAAAGTATATTTTAATGCATTAAACAAAGTTAATATTAATTAATACTATTATTAATATTTTGCATATAAAAATATTAGAAATTTTATTTTATTCATTTGTTTATATTTTATTGTAGATAAAAAAAATATATTATTTACAAATATTGTTTAGACAAACTTAATATTAATACTATTATTGATATTTTATCTAAAAATACTAGAAAAAGTTATTTTATCTAATTATTTATATTCTATTATAGGTAAAAAATATATATATACTTCATCTGTCCCTTGTCTATCTATCTGTTTATTTTTTGCACGGAGTTTAGGAATATTAGTATTATATTGGGGGTATGGTATGAATAAAATAGAAAAGACTTGTGTAATATATGGTAAGTTGTAAGGGTATTTTTAATTTCTGTAGAAAGTACTGTTATTAAAAAAAGAAATTGATACTTTGTTATGAGAATGATCAAAATAGAAAAATTGATTTTTTTTTTTTTTTATGCTTTTGCATTAAGAAGAAAATAAGTATTAGACAAAATTATTATTATTATTATTATTAGGAAAAATTATCAACAACTCTCTTGTTGTTTTAAAATTTAGCTTAAATCATCTTTATAATTTATATATTACATGACGCCCTTTTATACTTTTAAAATTGTTGAATAGAACTTCTTTTTATATTTTTTGGATGATGAGAAGATGATTTTTTGTTTATAATTTTTTGCATGATGTGAGTTTTATATAATATATCTTAAAGTATAAAAGGGACGCCACACAATTTTTAAAGTACATAAAAACTTTATGCTAAGTTTCAAAACTATATGGAAATTATGAACAATTCTGCCTTATTATTATTGATATTTTTGCGTAAAAATGCTAAAAAATGTTTTTATATTTTATTATATATCAAAAAATATTATAGATATATATATATATTTAAAAGCCCTTAATTTTTATTTCGCCCCGAATCCTTCAAAAGTCAGGACCGGCCTGTCAATATCTATATACACAATAATAATAATAATAATAATACTTAATTGTTAATTTTAAAACTTTAAAATTATAATATATATTATATTCATACACTCCATGTCATATATATATATATAGTGATACATTATTTATGAGATTTTAAATATATATATTTTTATATAGTATGATTTGTAATTTTTGAAAACAAAAAAACTGCATCATAAAATAATATCACAAGAATAAGAATTAAGCCTTACTTTATAAATATTTTATATTTCACCGACATGAAAATTATGTTGGCAACAAAGTAGAAATACTTGTATTAAACAAATAAGCAACACTAATAATACTTACAAAATATTATATCTAATAATTATGTTGATACAAAGTTGATGAAATTTCTAGTCAATCTTCATAACCAACTTGCTAAAAATATGACCTCAACTATATATATCTAACTTTTTATGACAAATAGGTCCTTCCATAATTTTGATGGACTCCATATAAAAATAAAAATGAATCCTTAATAATATTTTTATATGAAATTAATATTTTTTAATTATTTGTTTTATTATTACTATTGTTTTAGTTTGTCTGGTATTGTATCAATAGAAATACTCTTTTAATTCATAAAAATATCATATTAAAATATATTTAAATAAAAAAACTCAAATTTAAATGCAATCGAAGATAATATACATATATTTTATAAATTTGATTTATATATAAATATGTTTTTTTAAAAAAAAAAAAAAATGAGAGCCCAAAATTTTGGGGCCTCAGGCGTGGGCTCAGGTGACCCACGCCCAGGGTGGAACTAATGACAACGCATTTGATTCGGGATGAGGCCAAGTTCTCGACTATATATCTAACTTTCTTAGACCAAATGCCTCCAAACAAATCCGACACCAACGGATTCAAACTATTAGAAACCTAACTCAACTAATCGACAACTAATGTTCCAAACGCTCACAGCTCATGAAGATGAAGTCTCACCTGAAAGATTGACGAAGAGAACGACTATAACTAACAATAAAATAGGAAACCACCTAAAAAACCAATGAAAGAAAGAATGCATGAAGAGGATGAACACTCAAAATAGAATCGAATTTTACGTACACAAAAAATGGAAGAGGGAGGAATTATATATTGATGCAGGTCACGGCTAATAGAATACGATCCAAGTTACAGGAGTTTGGCTTGCATGTGGGGCAATGGGTCACGGATTAAGTTGGGCCAAAAATATCAACAATTTTCATATAAAACGTCACACCCAATAGATGAAACAGAAAAATCCTAATCACAAAACAAGACAAAGTATGTGAAAAGAGGGAAGGGGGATTTAATCCATGGCTCCATCCTCTTTGTGTGCTCTGCTCTGCAAAGAAGACTTGGAAACGGCCCACCACCTGTTCATCCATTGCTCCTTCTTGACAAAAGTTTGGACAGAAATATGCAAATGACTTTAGGCACCAAGGGAGCTGGACTCGATTGAAGAACAAAAGACTGGATAAAAACAACCATTTCGAAAATCATGCCACGGATCATCCTTTCCGTGACTCTTTATTATATTTGGATAGCACAGAACAAGGTAGCATTGGAAAATTTCACTTTAGATCCAACTATCGTCAAATTACCATGCCTTCCCACCACCACGCATCCACAACTGCTCCTACTTCAGGCCTTTCCGCAGAATCCCTATAGTCCGTATAGGTTTCCTTTCTGATGGTGGAGTTTGATAAGCACAAGATCCAATGAATACAGTGCAATTGATAGATGCATCATAGTTTTTTGTCACAGTAAAGGTATTTGCTTTAAATACTTAATCACTTTTACAAAACCTACCTCAGAGTAGTCATCGATTCACCATCCGCAAATCCAACACCTATCTCGCCACCGTTGCATCCATCGACCAGCAATCGATTCTCAATCCTCAGCCAGATCTGCTCACTATCCTTTTGTTCCCGATTGTGTTGCCAAGATCTCATTTACCCTTTCTCATACCTACAACTAAAGCAACCAAAACAAATAAACAAAAATAAGACAACCAAATCAATTGGAAATGGAAAAACACACAATCACCCTCTGAACCTCCGGAAAAGCCCTTATGTACAATAACCCTAAAGATTTTGATAGTATTAAGTGGATGGTTCAAAAAGGGCTACATATATTTTTATTTATTTAATTATCTTTTTAATTTATTGTAAGATTTTTCTACAATTTTTTAAATAGAGTTTTTCTGTGGACGACACTCACTTTTTTTCCTTGTGCTCACAAATTTTTACGGTAACGCATGGTTCTAGAAGTGTTGCATATATATATATATATATATATTTTATATTTTAAATTTATTTTAAACTTTTCTATAATTTTTTTTATATGATGTGAAGTAGTTAATATTTTACAATTTAATATATTTACTATATATTTATAAACAATTTCTTTATGTATTTTATTAACTAATATATTAAGTTTGTTTTGCATATTTTTATTTTTATAAATATTTTTAATATTCATTTTATATATATATTACTTTATTTTTAAAATAATTAATACATTTTTTGTTTTTCTTTTTTATTTTAAATAAAAAAATTTACGATTCAACTTGTATGTTCAAAAATATAAGTATTTACTATTCCAAAAATCACACAAAATACTATTTAAATCAAAAATTAAATAAATAAATAAACTACATTTCGATAATTCTATCAAATCACAGTAATATCACTACTGGGAGATCAAATCTCACACACAAACATAACTAACATATTTTGTCATTGCCTTCCTTCTTAATTATATCCACATAAAAAAATTAGTACTTGCAAAATTGACCAACAAACTTTTTTCTAACATGATTCTCAATATATAAAATATGTATACATATTATCATTTCACAAAACATCTACACGCTACAAAAGTTTTTAATTAGCTACAATATTTTTAACTCTAAAATATTTTTGTA